AGGCTATATCCATGTAACCATTTAAAAACATTTCTCTAGTTAGAAGAGGCTGTGTGGGAGGAAGACAGAGAGCCTGAGGTGAGATAAGTCAACAGAAGAGCTCAGAAGGGATGGTATGTTGGAAGGTTAGCTGTAATCACCAATTTTACTCAACCTGGAATCACCTGGAAAGATAATCTCAATGAGATTTTGTTCGTCATGTTGGCCTGTGGCCATGTCTATGATGAATATCCTAATTAAGTTGATTGTTATGGGAAGGTCCAGCCTAGTATGGGTCGCATCATTCCTTAGGCATGGGATCCTAAAATGTATGAGAGTGGGAAAGCTGAGCTGAGCGCAAACAAACAAGGAAGCAGGCATGCATTCATTTCTCTCTGGTTGGCTGTGGATGTGACCTGTCTGTTTCCTGTTCCTTTGTCCCCTGAAATTCTTTTTCATCCGGGCATTTTATCACCACTAGGACCATGGCAAGGCTGATGATGATGGTCTATGTCCTCTACAATCCTCTGAATAGAGAGACAGGACGAGAGGCTTCTGGTCCAGGCTATATGCTAGCTAGTCCTCAGGGAAGACACCCGTGGTGCTCCTCAAATCAAAAACTTGATTTTTTAAAATTTATGCAATGGAAAATGATATCTGAGACAATTTCTAACTAAGTAATGTGATGAGTTTTTTTTTAACTTTTTTTTATTGTTGTATGAAAATCTGATACATGCATGTAATGTGTTTTGATCAAATCCATGTCCAGTCCCTCCCCTGAAATTCCTCCCATACAGCCCCACTTTTTCCTCCAAATTCCACATGTCCCTCCCCTCACCTTTAATCCATCTCAGTCCACTTACTGCTGCTTGTATGTACATGGCTGTAGGGCCATCTGATGGAGTATGGTTATCCTCCCCAGACTTAGTGATGTGATTCTAAGAGGTGGGTTTGGGCCTGTGGCTCACTGGTAAAGCCTCTGCTTAGCATGCCTGAGGGTCCACACTCCATTCCCAACACAGTAAACAGGGGTGGCTTTCAGTGCCGAGCATTACCCGAAATCCCATTTCTAAGAGGAGAGAGTTATAGTGTGGAATCACCAAGATGTGTGTGCAGAGGGAGATAGCAGAGAGGCCGCTTTGCTGTGCAGTTTGGTACTCATCACAGTGTCCTAAGAATGGCAGACAGGTGATTGGAAGAAAGCCAATTGCCTGCCACCCTAGCTTATTTGGTGCGTAGATTTCATCTTAAAGGAAATGCACATGGTGCCTACCAAATGTTACTTGAGGTTGTCCTCTGCCCTCCCCACACGGCCTAAGATAGAATGCCACAATTCCTTTTCTTTGTCCTAGGGACACACCATTGTCCTCTATGATGTTACAATCGGTTAAGAGGCAAATGACCTGATTTAGTTTTGAAATGCTGGAAAGAGCACACATTTTAGTCATTAAAATTCTTCTGATAGCATTGACAGGTTGTGTAAATCTTACCAGAAATGAGAATGTTTGGCTCGCTTGCAAAGTTGGATGCTCCAAGTCACCAATAATTTCTCCAGTGCCCGTGATTGCAAAACCCCAAACATTTCACAAGAGCGGAACCCTCTAATTAAGCATAACACATGATGGAATGAATTTGTTTTTAAATCCATGGCTTATAATACTTAGAGCTTCCAGATCCTGACCTGAGAGCTCTCTGTTGAGGTGAGAGAGTTAAGCCGAACATGGTTTTCCACAAGATTTTTCTTCCTCTGTGTGTCAAGACTGATCCAGAACATTCTGCCAATGCTAGATTGGGTTCTCATGTGTTGTGTAGTTTGACTGTGGGAATGGTGTGAGCTGTGAAATCAGTTTCTCTGTGTGGAAGCAGTTGTTTAGAAGAACAGGAGGAAGAGAAAGGAGGAGCAGCTGGAGCAGCAGCCAACAGAGTTCCTTGGTGTGTTTCAAGTAAGGGAAGCCAGCAGCTTCAAGTCACAAAAGAAGAAAGAAAGAAACAGGACCCTGAACGTGTGTTTATGTTTAAATGGCAGACCTAACAAAACCCCAGAAGCTTTACCCAGTGACTGGAGCCTCCTAAGAGCCTGCTTAATGCATTGTCAGGCAGCTGGCCCTACCCGGAAGCTGTTCTGCAGGGTGGGGGCAAGGGAGGCCTCAGGTGCCTCCTGGAAGAATAGAGGCACTGTAGTGAGCCAGGCCAGCTGAAGGGGGCTTGGAAAAGCAGCTGCATCTGGTGCTGTCTTTCAAACATACTTGAGAGCACTCCTGTCAGTTTCAAGCCAACCATCAGCCAGATTTCAGATAGCTTGAGCTGGCAGCCTTGCAGAGCACTTAATTGTGAAACTTGAGAAGAAAATAGGCATGTTCTGGCTAACAGGAGCTTTCACCTACAGGTCTCACTTTTGTTCCTCGTCCAGAATGTTGCCCCCGCCCCTTTGGCACTCCTAGAGGCCTGAGCCATCATTGTTGGGACAGTTTTTTGCCTTGTTCAGACGTGGCCCTGTGTATCCAAATGAAATTGTCACTGCTGGGTGGTACAACGTAATGTGCTTTGACACTGTGTGATGACAGCCACAAAAACAGACTTTTATTGCGTTTATTCTCTCAGAGAAGTGTTTCTGGTGGCTCCCAGCAGACATCTACTTAGTTAGATCTGAATGAACCCAAAGTGAGGCATCTACGCTGCCTGCTGTCTTTGTGTTCTTAGAAAGAGCCCCCAGCAGGCCCGCCACAGCTGTAAAATGGTATTAAGAAAAGATGATAGTACTTGGAACCCAGAAGGGATGACTTGAAACTTTCAGACCAGAGTAAAAATAGGGGAGGCACGTGGAGTGGATAGCAGCCCATTTTCTTTTTAGCTGGTTCTGTATTCACAAGATCAGCAGTTGCACATTGTAACCTTCAGCTATGTTTGGTCTTCCTTTAAAAGTATGTGTCATTTTAGGACAAAGAGAAAGGGTTTGGTTTGTGGGGCTTTGCAGGCAACATTTATTCTCCACTGTCTTATCTACATGAGCTCACAGAGAGAGATTTAATAGAGAAGGGACTGGAGGCATGAGCCTTTTGTCTTTACCTCCTAGAATAAAATTCCAGTAATGTTCTGTCTGTGGGAGTTGAGGGCCCCGGTCTCCTCTCTCATTCATGCCCCTCCGAAGAGGAAGCTTTCCACAAAGAGGCCACAGAGAGTAGATCCTGTGGGAAGGCAGGGAGACACAATCAGAATTCTTTTGTTCCTAGAAAAGGAAGTTTCCTACTTAAAATAGAAACTTACAGAAGTAAGAAGAATAAGGTTAAAGGGTCTACTAGGTAGGAAATGCAAAGATGGAGAAAATTGTATTAGCCTGTTACTAAATATGTAGAATGGGGAAAATATATTCTTTGCTTTTCTTATCCTAATATCTTATGATCCTAGGGTTCTTGTCAGTAAGTAGTGAATGAAATCACACACACACACACACACACACACACACACACACACACATTTATGGAGTTGGAGGGATGGGTCTGTCATTAAGAACATTTACTGCTCTTCCAGAGAACATGAGTTCAGCTCCCAGCACTTACCTGGGGTAGTTTACAGCCACTTCTAACTCCAGCTATAGGGGCTCTGACTCCTCCTTTTGGCCTCCACAGGTATGGTTATCACACACAGACACAGACATACACTGACACAGACTGACAGACTGACAGGCTGACAGGCTGACAGACTGACAGGCTGACAGGCTGACAGACTGACAGACTGACAGACAGACACACACACACACACACACACAGAGAGAGAGAGAGAGAGAGAGAGATAGAGAGAGAGTTGTAGAAACAACAAAGTGAGGGTCATATATGCTTTATTTTTTTGAAATTCTTGCAGATATACCTGAGCCAGGGCCACCTTGCCGAGAGTAACATGATGGTGGGATGGCTAAAAGTGATCTCTCCTTAGATTGTACATGGGATGCTGACATTTTCCACAAAACCTTATTTTATGAATCTTGGTGTCTAGTATTAAATATAAAGAAAATGAATAGGAGAGTAGCCAAAATTCTAAAATGAGGAGAGTATGGTTTTAGAGGTTCTTTTAGCTTCCTCCTACATGTAGAGACCCCAATAATCTCTCTATGTATCTTCCAAATAGTGACTTTTCAATAAAATTGGCTTATAATTGTCCCACCTTGTGATCACTACCACAGGCAGCAAGCTATTCAAATAGAGTGAATTGTCTTCACAGTGTGGCTGAGTTGTCACAGCATAGGCTTGACCTTGGCTGGGGTTGGTTCAGATCCCAACTCTGACACTTACTGGAGAGGTGGTTTATCTCCCACAGCCTCCATGCCCTCATTGATATGACCTGATGATGGGGGATGTCCTTCTGTAGGCTGTGAATATGTGAGTAAACCTGTGTTGTCCAATGGACAGTCAGGATTTAGCCAGGCAGAAAACCCAAGCAGGGGCAGAGAAAGGCAGTAGGCAGAGTCAAGAAGACACCATATAGCTACCAGGAAGGGGGGACACTTGGGCATTCTCAGGTAAGCCAAGCTCACATAGAGATACCTAGACAAAGAGAAATGGGTTAATAATTAAGAGACAGCTAGCCAATAAGAAGCCTGATGCATTGGCCAAACAGTTTATAATTAATATAAGCCTCTGTGTGTTTATTTGGGACTAAATGACTGCAGGACTGGGCAGTACAGAACCTTCTGTCCACAACCTGCCTCTCAGAGGTTGCTAATTCAGCCATTTGATGCACTTCTATTTAATGCTTTCAGCTGCCAAACTGTGTTGTGTGGAATGAAGAAAAGGTCTCAGATTAGCTCTGTGACCTCCACCTGGGCAGCCATATGGTGGTGACACATTGAGCAATGATAACCTTATCGAGTTCCATGAGCAGTAGATGATAATTTGTGTACACTATACACGTGTCAAATTAGACATTCCCATCCCTTTCTTATTACACTTTCTTGCTTATATTTATAAGAACAACTTGACAAAAGTATATAATCTCATGTTCACCTACCCATACTTTTTTCTCCCTAGAATGGAGTCTACAGAAAAATGTGAAGTGGTAATTCAACATTTTAATGGAAAATATCTGAAAACACCACCAGGCATCCCAGGTAAGAAATGCCATCAAGAAGCCACTCAAAAGTGTCTAGGCTTCTGGCTATTGTTTAATCATTTACATACTGCTGACGGGGGGAGGGGCTGTTGTAAAGGTACACTTTTTCATTTCTCTTTTCTTCAGATCTGTGCATGTTGTATAGTATTGTGGTGTATGCACGTGTGCATGTGAGCACATAAGCCCATGCACTCACTTGAGACAGCCAAAGGGGAACACTGGATGTCTTCCCTTTCAGTCTCCTTTTTACTCTTTGGTACATGGTCCCTCACTGAACTGGAAGCTGGCCATTTTGGTTACATTGCTGGCCAGTGAGCTCCAGGGAAGCGCCTGTCTCCATCCCCCAGTGTACAGCCATGCCTAACTTTTACATGGATGTTGGGGGTTTGAACTCGAGCCCTCATGCTTGTATAGTGAGCAGTTAACCCATAGAGCCAACTCCCCAATCCATAAATGTGTGTGTGTGTGTGTGTGTGTGTGTGTGTGTGTGTGTGTTTAAACACTATTTAACAACTGGTTTCCAGACTGTCTCAGTTATTCTTCATTGTTTCGTGTTTGAATTTGTTCTGCTGATTCCCTGAAGTGGTTTACAAGAAAAACAGAGCAAAGTGCAGGTGTCCTTGAGATGAGGGATGCTTATGACACTCAATATGAGTGTTGAATCCTTCATCTGCCACGTATAAAGTGGCTATGTGGTGATAGTCAGAGAAGAGCTAAAAAGGCTCATCCTGGACCCCAAGCACGACTGCCCACCTGTAAGAAAAATGTGCAAAGACAAGTAAGCATAGAAACTTTATGGCAATTTGATAGTCATGAAATCTGAGTGCAATAATGTAAGTGACAGTTTGAGAAATTATTAAAAGCTCCAATCTATACTATCCAATAGCATTTTATATTTTCTCAAGGCAGAAATCTTAAGAGTTTTATATACATTGTAAAAGGACACCACTTTATGTTATTAAGAGTTACATTTAACATAAAAAATAAAATATATCTTGTCTATCGGAATTATGAATGCCTTAACTTGGCTTAACTTGCTAGGGAACAAGAATGGTATTTGATGTTGAAAGATTACATTGAAAAATAGCTCGTGAGACCCAGCCATGGTGGCTCAAAGCTGTTATTGCAGCACTTGGGAGGTAGAGGCAGGAGGATCAGGAGTTCAAGGCCATCTTCAGCTACATAGAGACTTTAAGGACAGCCTGGGTTACCTGTGATCTTATCTTCAAAAATGGTATTCCATATTAATACATAAAAAATTAAGATCAGATGAAGTGCTGCACTGAGAAAAATTATAACGTCTAAAGAACTTTCTAGTGTATGTCGGTTAACTTATGTCTCAGTGGAAATAAGTACATATATTTGTATATATGTGTGTATTTATTTATATTCTGGGTTTCAACAATTACTGCTATACCACAGCTATCATTGAAATCCATCAGAGGGTTTGAAAATTTGGCTTCTCAATTCCTTAAAACAGATTGAAGTTATATAGAGGAAAAAATGTCAACAAAAGGAGAAATTATTTTTTGTAGCATAGTCAGGGCTTTTGTACTGATTTGGTCGTGTTGGGAAAGCAGGAAGACCCTTCCTCGATATGTTTGCATGATGGAGAAGATGCAAAGGCAGGTTATTGGTTAATCAGTGAGTGTGCTTGAAGCCAAGCAATGCCTTGATTTGCTTAGCTTCCACAGGGAACATCCCCCCTGGAAACTGACTACGTCATGATCCACTTGGAGACATATGGTGTTGTTAAGAAAGGCTGTAACAGTTTTCTTCTCAGCATGGAAGCTGTCTTTGCATTTTAGGAGAAATACTGTGGGCTTTTTTTCCCGTTAGTATAAACAGACATCTCAAGACATTCTTCTCAGAACTAGCATTGAATAGAGGAGGGTGTGTGTGTGTGTGTGTGTGTGTGTGTGTGTGTGTGTGTGTTATTTTTTGAGACAAAATCTCCTGCTGAACCAGAAACTCGCCGCCTTGGTCAGAAGGGCTAGCCAATGTCTCCAGGGATTTGCCTGCCCAGCCCTTTCCCAAGCTAGGATTCAGGCACACACCACCCCCCATGCCTGGATTTTATGTGGGTGCAGGTGATCTGAACTCAGGTCCTCACGCTTGTGTGGCAAGCTCTTTACTAACTGATCCATCTTCCCAGATCCTGCAGTTATCTTATCTTAATCCCAGTTTGCACAACAGATGTCTTTATACACAGAAGGCGTTGAACTAGGTGTGAATCACATGATTGTGTTAAAAAAGTTAAAGAAGCTGCCAACTATGTGGAAACAATCATTAGTTACATTTTGATCACAGATTTTTAACTTTGTAGGTTTCTTCCTTTGGGGAGAGGGAGAGAAAGACATGCTGAAAACTATTTTGACCTGATGCTTGGAAATAGTTTGTTTGGTTTTCCCCAAATGTATGGATGATTAAAACAATTCAATGCTAAAGAGAGAGAAAGTCCAGACAGATCCCTAACTGCCCCAGCAGCTTTCATATGTACACAGGGAGGGCTAACACCTTTTTAATATCATAGCTACACCCAATGGAAGCATGGTGCATAGCAGGGATTTGCTTGTATTTATCCCCTTACTATCTCATGGAAGCTAGGAAGCTGGCAGCTTGACTCCCTTACACAATCTTAGAGGTGGGACTTTACTCTTCTGAGGCCTTTCCTCACTAGAATAGAATCAAATATGCAATGCTGATCATCAGGGGTTCTCAAGTTTGTCTTCATTTATGCATAGTTTTGGAAGTCAAATAGAGTTTAATAAAAGCCTCAGATGCTAACTGAAGATACTAAATCTTTGATATGTAAATCTGAGGTGAAATAAAAGAATATGTCATAGGAAATAGGTATTTGGAAGGTATAATAGGAAAATGTGCCCCGTAGGATACAATATGGGTATTATGGCTGGTAGGATCAATTTGGGCTTAGGTTGCTTACTTGGATTGATGCTCATGGCTTCTGTGTGTATATGTTTGAAATATTTTCAGCACTCATGTTTTTTAGAATTTAGTGTGTTGTATGATCCTGTGTGTGTGTGCATGTGTGAGTATTGTTGCATTCAGGCCATGGTGTACATGGGGAGGTTAGCACACAGCCTTGTGATTAGGCCTTCCTTGCTTTCCATCTTATTTAAAGTGGGATCTCTCTTGTTTTTTGTGGCTGTGTATTCAAAGCTAACTGGCCTTTGAGGTTCTGGGTATTCTTTCTTCACCTCCCTTATCTTACTGTAGATACACTATGATCACAGATACTCATGCTAATCTATTCTGTTTTTACATGAGTTCTTGGGGTTTGGACTTGGTGCTGATGCTTGTGTGGTCAGCTCTTTACACATGAGCTTTGATAGCCCAGAAACTCATCTGTTACTCAGATTTTCTCTTCCATTATAAAGACAAAGAGTTCAAGGTTACTAGGAGCTCTTTAGCACACAGACGAGAGTCCTCAGAGTGGTTTTTAAAATATATGTATTATTTTGATTTATGTGTGTGTGCTTGCTAATCTGTGTGTGCACTTGTGTGGGAATGTCTGTGGCAGCCAGAGAAGTTGTTGGGTCTCTTGGAGCTAGAGTTACAAGTGGGTATGAACCAATGTGGATGCTAGGATCTGAACTTACATCTTCTGGAAGAACAGTGAGTGTTCATAACCACTGATTCATCTCCAGCCTTGTTTCTTTCTTATTTTCCTTTTTAAGTGACCAGATTTCTAATTCTTTTCAGTAGAATACTTGAGAGAACTTGTCTTTGCTGGTAGATGTACTTATAATTTAAAAAATAACATTAATTAATATGACCTTCTTGAAACAAAAATAAGGGTGAATGTGATCATACTCATTGTACAGAATTCTCAAACAACTAATTAAAGAAGTAGAGTTCAAAAATTGAGGAGCACAATTTTCTGATTTAGCATAGTCTGTGGATTTGTGGAAATGCACACAGATACTTTCAATGTAGTGATATTTAAAGCCATGTGTGAGGAACCCACAGTCATGTGCAATGACCCGAGCCACTGTGTCCTGAGAAGGCTGTGGTAGGTCAGGTGTTGAATCACTTCATCATCCTGTCTCACTGTGTGTGAGTACAGAGCAGTTGGCACTGAGTTCATGTCACTTCCTTCTTCGCTTGAGGATGATTTGTGGAAGCATGCACACATTGAAGAGAACCCATGGTATTTTCATTCTGTCACCCTTGGCAATGATAGTGACGCTTCTGGGCTCTACAAGGCTAATTATTGTGTCCAGGTAATCATCTCTTTCATCTGCTGATCCTTGTCATGTCATTTCTACAAAGGATCAAGAAAAAAAATAACTACTTGAATACTGAGAAGTGACATGGTTATAAATTGTAAATTCAGAACCATCACTGTTAAGCACATTTGCAAGGATATCATCTAACATTGATCTCATTTATGTAGTCAACACCATTTGTGTTTTGATTAGAGTGTGACTAATTTGCTCATGAAATATTAGTTACATTGCTGTTAAGTTTCTCTTTGTGACACACATCAGTGTGATGTTGAAGGGAATGATGTAGATGACACATTTTGGATCGCCCTGGATCTCTCTATACAGCAAGGCTTTCCCCATTGATTCATAAGTGGTTTGGTGTTAATGAGGGTATCATGAACCATTCAATTCCCACTATTAGAGCATCCCCAAATGGTCCAGATGATGATCAACTGGGTCAGGAAGGAGGAAGGAGAGCAGATGGGCAGATAGATGATAGATATGTATAGATAGGAAAGTGTAGGTGTATATAAATGACAGATAGATATGTGGAGATAGATACATGGATAGATGTAGATAAAGGTAGATGAGTGATTGGTAGATGATACATAGACAAAAAGATAGATGATAGACAGATAGATAGCTGATAGATATAAACCTAGGTAGATGTATCGATCGACAGATGCCAGAATTAAACTATAGAGCGTTAGGACATCTAGCTGAGGAATCTAAAAGAGATCAGACATTACTGTTGGCACTAACAGATAGG